GTACGAATTTAAGCATTCTAATACATGTTTCTTGACCAGAATTTCACGTAGAACACGATGCGCACAACGAAAATTACCGAAATCAACTCGTTATGAAGATATTTAATGATTCTTGATGCGTGAATTCAAACCACCCGCTCATGAAAACTCAATGCTCCACGTGACTCACATCGCGCGCTAAACGTTATCATGACAGTCTCTGCGATATTAAAATCTGGCAACCTTAATCTTGACGCTTTAGCTCAGCTATTGCAAGTTGTTTATAGATTGAACAGCACATGGTGGGAAATGAGCAGCACATGGTGGGAAATGAGCAACGCTTGATTGAGAAGTTTGCTGAAACCGTTGTAGTGCACGATTTGACTCACGTAGAGCTTTGAGTTTCTTGTGAGCGGGCAGTTCAAACTCCTCGTAACCAATGTGAAATATAAACGTTAATATCTTTGTTAGGAGTTGATTTTGGTAATTTTCGTTGCGCGAATTGTGTTCTACATGAAATTCTGGTCAAGAAACATATATTAGAATGCTTAAATTCGTACCTTGTCTATTGGTCCATTCCTGACATCAAAATATCCCCAACAAAAGGGTTTGTTGTGCACTAAAGGAAATTCAGAATAGAATCTGGAATACTAGTTTTCATTTTGCTGGAGTTGTTGTGCACTAAGAAATCATGGCCGAACTTAATTTTTCCTCTTTATACATTTGAAAAGTGGCTGTAATTGGTACTACACGAAATGTTTTCAACTTTGTTACGTATAAATTGATAAATTTCTTTGAGATACCTACTTCATTTTTTTATTTATTTATTTTTTTTTTTTTTTTAATAAAAAGAAAAAATTCAACTCAATCTAAGGACCTGCTCAAAAGTTAGAGGCAGTTGAAGGTTTTGTCTCTTCCTCTATGAAGAATGGAGCTAAGTTGATGAGTCCATCATATTAATTGAGCATGTCACATACTACAATATGATCTATGAAAATATGGATTGCATCTGATAGAGGGCTAAAGACCGGTAATGGGCAACCGCTTCAGCAAGAGTTACATTATGAAAATATATTCTGAAGTTAGTTCTGTTGATTCATTCAAAAATGAAAGAAAAAAGTAAACGCTTACCAATGTACCCATTCTGTCTCACAAAATTAGTAGCCCACTCATTCTGTTTCTTAGAATAAACAAGGGGTATGTACGTGCAAGAAGTGCCTCGCTTCTCTGATAAGGCACCAGGTATCTGATTTTCATGGGTTAAAATGTCATGTGCAGCTAAAATTAAAAAAAGGGAATATTAAAAAATCTTCCAGAAAAGAAAATAATCACCACGGTGCAAAACCATGGATCTCCTTCTCTATGATCCAAAATCTCCATGCCTATTTTATTTTTTCAAAGAGAGACAAGGAAACTTTACAGCTTGAAATTTCCTCAGAATATTCCTCCAATCGAGAGAGTTTTTAGATAATTACGTTGACTAGTTTTTCAGAAAAGAAATAAAGTATGACAAGAAGTCTACAATGTTGCAAATGGAGATACATATGTGGTTTCGCACTTTGGCCATCGATATTATTATTCAGACAAATATGACAAAGAAAAAGGACCAGACACAAGGCTTACCAGGAATCCAGCCTCCCTGTGGACTTATTCTTCTTAATCTCTTGATCAATAATCAGAGGACACAAGTTGGATTTGAATAGGATTTGAAGTTCAGGACACAAGTCACAAGAAAGGACACAAGTTCTCGAAAATTCAGGATCTCAAGATACGAGGGGCATGAAGTGTCCATAAATCGAAATTTTTGGGAGAAAATTAATCTTGTGTTAAGAGTTTTTCCAAAGCTCATATAATAGATTTCTGAGGAAACATTTAATCTTACGATGGGAGCTTTTACATGGGGAGGCTAAGAAGTTCTTAAAAGTGTGAGGGAACACAGAAGTGCTGGACCTAATCACCTATGAGAAGCATCTTTAAGATTCTTACGAGAGGTCAGGAGGTTTGCAGAGGATTGTGAGAGCCAGACTTTCTTGCCATTTTAGATGATCAGCATTCCAGGAAATTGTTCCACTGTGTTTTGCACACATCTTCCACCCCTTTTATGATTTGAGGCATCTCTTCCTCCTACCTTCTCACTGAAGCTGCTACTATTCCATGACAACAAATGTGGTATCCAAACCCCCTATCATGCTCTTTTGTAAGTACACGAAAAGTGCTAAAATCTAATAAAATTCTAGAATTATTTCAGATGGGAATTTAATTTTTGTCGTATTTTGTCCTCATAAGACCCACCGACAAATTGGAGGGATGAGGGAAGGAGGAAAATAAATTTGGGGGTGGGGGAGAAAGAGGAAGAGGATCAGGAAGAGATGTGTCAAGTTATATTCAAAGAGTGTGCAAAACAGAGGAGATAAGTTCCCTCCATGCCTGCTGGCCAATCAAGATGGGTCGAAAGTCTAGCTTCCGCAATCATCCATAAACCTTACGCTATCTCTTAAGAACCTTTGAAATGACCGTATTGGGAGATTTATGGAGCTCCTCATTTCACGTTTTATCCAAGCAAACACTTTTACTCTTCAAGAGATCAATAATTCAGTCCATCCAGTTGTAGCTCATTTTAAAGGCCTTTCCAGTCTTCTTAATTCCCCCTTTTGGCCATTGAAGGGTGAATTTTGTCCATCATGACAGCATTTTGATCAGCATTGTGAAACACAACTGATCTAATTCCATGGTATAATCTCCTAAACAGTTCACTGTAAGAGACTCATTTCTCCGATAAATATTGGGTTTGGTACACTTCAGACCCTCATACCTCAAAAATTTCCGTGTTCCAGGGCTTAAGCTGAGTGTACCTTCTGATCAGGAGGTTCAGGAGTGTGAGTTCCAAAAAAGTGGTCAGATTTGATCAGGGAATCAGCGCCACATTCTCATGAGCCCTGAATCTAGTCTTTAGTTACAGTTTACATTGGACTCACTGTTAATTGTTTAAAGGAGGTCTCCATAAAAAAGACTTTCCATATGTACCTTTTAGTCTACTTCTAAAAATCTTATCTCAGTAAAAAGATGTGCTCGCAATAAGAAAACCTAATTCATAAAAATTACTGTGTTCCTTCCTGCTTCAGAGAATCCTAAATGAAGAGACTCATTTTTGGGACAACTTTTACTACTTGAGTGTGGGGTAGTTGCAGGTGAATCCATTTTCTATGCAATTAGAGCTGTTTTATTGGTTGTCGGTGAGCTACCGGAACAATTCAGTTTTGAAAAAAATATGATAAGAGGACTCTTATCAATGGCGATCTGAGTTTTCGGAGATAACGAAAATAAACTGTTACCACGTGTTTAACTATTTTACGCGCCGTCGGGCCAGGCAATCTGACTAACTGAAACACAAGGCAAGAATACATTGAGTGCGGGCTCTCGCTACTCCGATGAGGCCAGCTGTTAACGATATCATCGCCACTGTCGGAATGCTTACCGGTATCTGTTTAAGACGTTTTTTGTCGCATCTGTTTAAGACGATATTGATAGCTTACTGACAAGAATTCGTTTGACCACCCCTACATGCAATCAGGAGGCTTTTCAAAAGCTATGGATGTTACAAACGAAGGAAACTATTCCGATTGCTGAGGGATATTAAACTGGCTAAATTTTGTTTCTTCTTCAGAACCACCTTCAGACTTGAAGTAACTTCCCTTTATAGTACCACTTTTCTCAAAACAAGCTTCTAGCCAGCTCCAGTTGTAAAGGTCACAGTGCTTAAAAGGTCATAAAGAACACATTATACAGGTAAATAAAAAAAATAGGCAGCATCAAATCCTCTTGTTCGTCACACAGGATCCTTAGTGTTATTTAATACACTCTATTTGAGATTGAGGAGGATATAAACGTTTGAGAAAGTCTCTGACTTTAACCAGAAGACAAAGAAGATCTCTCAGTGAATATGGGCAAATTTGTTTTTTGTTTTTTGTTTTTTTTACAACATCTAGCGATGATACATGCAGTATACCTACAAGGAAGAATTTCAATCACCATTTTAAAGTAGATCATACTTACTGTAAAATAAGTTTTCTAGAATAGAGCATTGTTTAACGATATTTTGAACTGATGTGGGCTTGGTGATAGCTAGAAGCGCACCTCTCACGATTGCTTTTAGTTTTAAAAGAAATAAGTCAGTGTAGAAGACTTTTTCATCATAACTATCTTGATAGATTTTTTTTCCTGGTTTACCAAGATTACGCTTGATGGCCTGGAAAATTAATGCTGTGTCAGAACAATGAGCAAAGCGGAATTAGCATGAACTGAAAAGAGTATGTGGATAAATGGGTCTGTTACAAACTTGGGCAAGAGGGAAGAGAACACACGGAAAAAAAAAGAATTGCTGATTCAGCAATTCAATTGCTAAAAGCAGTGAGTGCAATGTTTCAATGTAGATTTTACAACACAAAAATGCTACTTTAACCACATTGTAAACTAATTTAACCACAGGGGTGGTTAAAGTAGCATTTTTGTGTTGTAAAATCTACATTGAAACATTGCACTCACTGCTTTTAGCAATTGAATTGCTGAATCAGCAATTCTTTTTTTTTTCCGTGCAGTTATCACATAAGAATTAAAGCTTCAAAGGACCCCGCACACCTCTTATGGGAAGCTGCACCACGAAGAATTGCCTTCTGACTTATGTATTTCGATTCTCCTCAAGATGCTGATCAAAAGTTATAATTGCGCCAACTTTCTATGATGCACCGTTTTCGCAAAAAACCTATGAGAAGATTCAATTATTCGGTGATAAAAAGCCAGAAAGATTTCTCATTTCAGTGCTCGATTGACAAGCGGCTGTGTGTCAACAAGGAAATCATGGGGACTCCCGCACCGAGCGGCAGTCTTATCTCGGATTCCGCACGCCGTTTTGCTCGACCACCATCCAAATCAGATTCTTGAGGAGCATAAGAAGAGGAAAGTCTGAACGTCTACCGGGCGAGTGCGGGAGGGAGATAGCCCCTGAGTCGGCAAGTACAGATAAGAAGACGGACACATGCTACATTTTTTTCTTATTCACATCGGGCCTGTTCTCAAATGCTTTATTCTTTTTTATTCATAGTCGCCGAATAATTGAATCTTCTCATAGGTTTTTTGCGAAAACGGTGCATCGTAGAAAGTTGGCGCAATTATAACTTTTGATCAGCATCTTGAGGAGAATCGAAATACATAAGTCAGAAGGCAATTCTTCGTGGTGCAGCTTCCCATAAGAGGTGTGCGGGGTCCTTTACGACAAATACATAAAAAAAACTGAAAAATAGCCCTTTTTCAGCCAATCTCTGAGATTCTCTAAATTGGCCTTGAAAGAGACCCCAAAATAAGACAAGACTCCGGTGGAAATTTTACTTTTTTTTCTTAAATTTTAATAGGTATAAGAACCGTTGTGGAAATACAATGGCGCAATGTTGATGTTTTTAACCTTAATTTTAGCACTATCGTTGAGGAAATACTTACATGGAGACACGAAAGTAAGTACCTGTGGTAGGCTACCTAATTTCGTGGAAGCAAAATAAGTAAGAAGGTTTTTCTACTTACAAAAAAAAATTCTGCCGCTTATCTTGAATTAAGTTCTCACTTACATTTTGTAAGAAATCTGCAGGCAGGTCATAAATTTTGATCAATTCGTTGATATTCAAAATACCCTGCTGATCAAGTTTGTCACTTATTTCTTCACTTAGTTTGTTCATGTAGGACTGATCCAGCAAATGACCCATCAATACTTTACAATCATCTCGACCTTCCAAAAGAGGAAGCTGAGCATTGATCACATTAATATCCACATTCAGGAGATGCACCAACTCAATCAGCGGTATTCTTCCTGGGAAAGAGAGAAAGCAAATGAAATTAGAAAATTCCAAGCAAGGTCTGGGTTCAAAAAATGCAGAGTATTCTCCTATCCCTGGTCTGCGTTGTGTTTGAGTCAAATAAACATGAAAATCTTTTAGATAGAATTAGAGTACATGTATAGCGAGAGTATAGACAGATGTGAAACTCCGAAAATCCATCAGGCCTTCACCGATGCCTCTGCGAATAAAGTTAGGGCTCAGAAATGCAGCCAACCTATGAATTTCAATTATCCAGAGCGATTTATTAATACAATTGTTACGAACCATCGTTTATAAAGCACGTATTTGACTTAGTTTATGCATAAATTTACTCATTTTTGTGGAAGAACGCTCATTTATGAACTTTCTTAACCATCTTCGTTAGAATTGGAATCTACAGACTGGCAGTGAAATTTTGTGCGTTAGAAGTTGGTTAGAAGGGTGGCTGCACTTCTGGGCCCTAAGCCCTCCATGAAGCGATCTGTCCATACTCTCGCTATACAGGTACTCTAGACAGAATGCTACTGTGTCTACCTAAACCATTGTCGCCGATATTTAGATTAGCTATGTTTATGCGAGCCTCATAACCTAACTTCAATCGAAACCTGAGTTTGAAACCAAGGTTCAAATCACGGCATAAACGATACGGAACTAACGAAATGTAGGTTTCCGAAATTTGTGTTTGAAACCTTATTTTACACTAAAGACTAGGTTTTCGCACTCCGCATAAACGAACCGGAGGTTGAAATTAGTTGAAATTCGACTTCAAATGCGATTTTCAGGTGCGCGATCGGCAATATGGCGGATTCATTATCATAACGCTCGTAAACAACTGGTGCTTATCCCACGATTTAGCTTTAATTTTGCCATTATTCAACATTTTTTACAATCATAATTTTACTATAATTGTTGCTTAAGCACTTTTACGTGATTCCCCTTCAGTTATATGTGGCTTATTTATCCTTATTTAGCTAAACGTAGGACGTTATTTTCTAGTGAAGGTGTTTAGTGTCAGATGGAATCCAGGCTTTTTACTGCTTTTTCAGATAATTCTTGCAACTCTAATCAACATTTTATGACTACAGAAGCAAAGCAAGCAAAGAGCTTTACAGGCTACAATTGAGTAATAGCCTTACCTACGAGTTCATCATCTGCGGAGAACTTTTTTACTGTATCCACACGATTTGCCTAGGATTTCAAGATAAGGCACCATGCTTCCCTTTAAGTAGTGCACCGAATTTTTTCATTTCATTCTACCGATTAAATCTGAAATCTGATCCAATCAGAGCTGTGTAGCTCTTGAATTTGTGTGGTATCCATGTATCTATTTCCTGGTTGTCCTACTGAAAGTGAGAGATCAGCCACAACCGTGACCTGCTGACTTATTTCTTTGATCCAATCTCTTGGAAGATGACTCAAATTCTGAGGCCATCATTTATTGAAACTAGTTCAAAGTTATTGCTCCAAAGTATCGTCACTCTTCTCATACTGAGGCAGAAGGAAGGAGATTTTTTGGCGAGTGCTCTGTTATCCAAGATTTGCAATTTGAGATAAGAATACGGTTTTTATTGAGGCGTGAAACAATTTTTGGTCGTTGAATCACTAGTCATAATTGAGCCTTGGCGTTAGAGATCCATCTATTGTGGAAAGTGGCTCTGCCTGTGCAAAAATATCTTGTGACAGCAGTGAATGT